CATGGAGCAGCTTAATGATGGTACACATTTCTGTCCATGTAGAGCTGCAGTTGGCATGTTTTACATTCAGTGTGTGAAGATCCTTCGTATGTCTAGTTCATCAAAAACAAAAGATTCTTTCACTATGACCTTGTGGGTACCGAACTGGACTACAATCCTGGTCTGTGTTGGGTAACTTGTCTCAGCTGGGATAACAGATGAGGTGCTACAATTGACCTCAGCAATTGAGAATAAGCTTCCGATTGCTAACACCATATCGACCTCTCCGCTCAGCAGGCTGTGGCCTTTTCCACGTTCCCCGCTCGTCCCGTCCCACCATCGGCGGTTGGGCCCTCAGCCTCTTTGCACGCACCTCTATGGGAACTCCATCCCACAGTCCCTTTGCCTTGCTCCCTCCCTTGCCTCCTTCAAGGCAGATCTCAAGACCCTCCTCTTCGACCGTGCCTTCAGCCGCCCTCCTATTCCTAACACTCCCTGCCCTCCACCCCTCCTGATCCCAACCTCCTGCTCGGGTCCAAATCCCTGACTGTCCAGCGCCTTGGGACGTCCTCCCAACATGAAAGGCGCTATACAAATATAATTTGTTATTGTTGGTGGTGGCTGTTGATAACAAATTTCTTGTGGACTTTGGAAGGACAGGATCAGACTCAACTATGATACTCTCTGGTTGAACAGCAAAGCAAACACTCAAGGTTCACGTATGAAAAATGGCCACTTGAACAAGGACACCAGATGCCAGGGAATTGTTCCCCAGTGTGAAGAAGGCAGCTGTCCTGCCTTCTTTCTTACTGATTCTCAAATTGTCTGAGAAAAGCAGTTCATGTACTGGAACCAAGGCTTTTCACCTACCCCCGGAGTCCGCAATGTGGTTTGTGCTTGGTAGAACATTGGTGCAGCACTGTGATGTATTGCTCTGTCATGGAATGAGTTTTATGCATTGGTAGAAGTGTTCAGTAACCAAAAGAAGAGGGGCCTTAAAATAACCAGGGTGGGGTGTCAAGAAGATGTATATTCCTGTTGATAATTATGATGTGTGGCATTTTGCACCCAAATATATTTTGAATAACAACAAACCTAAATATGGCAGTGCTTTGTGGCTCCTGCCATAGTAGTTGGTTTGATGGAATTTTACAAACAAATGGTGAAGGGAGAGAGTTAAGTGACTTAAACCTAATCACTTTCTATCTGAGCAGCAGGTTGACAGTGAATCACCTTCTGAGCTGTGCTTTCCTGCTCAAACTGTCACTGATTTCCTATCGGATGTTTTCCAAACTGCATTTGAGTATGTTTCAGTGTAAGGCCTGTGTTGTATAGTCCTTTGCATCCTCTGATCTGGCTTTTATGCAAAGTGAATCGTTCATTACACAGGAAAACTTAGCACTGTGCGCAGAGCAGTCAAATAAAAAAAAGGGGAATTCAGGTAGGGATTGGCAACAAACAAGCTGAACTGCTGTTTGCAGTGCAGGTTTTATTTTGAAATGTATGTGGTTTCAGCTCCAGAAGGAAAGCTCAGTAAATTGCTTAAACACATAGAAAATAATAGCATCCCTCGCAAGACAGTGTGTGTGTGCTTTTGCATTTTGGTCTTGTGGCCTTTTAAATGAATAGTTTTCTCCTTGCTCGCTTGCTTTTCTCTTTTTCTTTCTTGCCTGCCAGTCCACCCATGTCAGGAGAAATAAAAAATAATGTTTGGGCCATGACAACAGCACTGGGATGTAAATACTGTGTGTGTGTGTGTTTCTCTCTTATCTCCCTTTCTCACATACACACATACACAAACAATCAGCCACGATCTAGTAGAATGGCAGAGCAGGCTCAAGGGGCTGAATGGCCTTCTCCTGTTCCTATCTTCATATAATCACAAATGCTCACACACACACCTACACACACACACATCCTTACTCACCCATCTTGGATTCATATCCCCACTGAAATCCACATATGAAAGGGACACATATTTAATTGGGTTTGGATTTAGAGCTGTTCCACAGTGGATTTTACACTTAAATTAGGAAATGCCTGCCAGCCAGCTATCGTTTCGCCCACAAATATACAGTCAGTTCACTTTACAGCATATTCTGTGAAGCGCTTTGATTATTATTTATTATTATTCTGCTGCTTGACTTTTTCTTGTTGTCCTTTCATCTCCCAGAAAACTGGAGAAAAAGTAGCCTGTGCAAGCGAGTCTTCTTTGAGGACTTCCACAGTGTGACACTTGGGACTACTGTGTGCCGATTGCCAACTGTAGTCATCCCTTTATTACATTTTTACAATGGGAAATGGGATTTCAGAACCTGGAAATGAATCCAAAAATACCTGTGACCTGGCATAAATCGTGATGATGAAGTACCTAGATATAATTCAAGTGGAGTCTCTATAGATATCATGGAAATGTTGCAAAAGCACTTTTGCAGCTGACTCCTGATTATTGTCTGAACCCTTGGTAACTGATGAATGTGGTGATGCCGTTGCTGCAGTTTTGTTGACAAACACTTTTATTTTGGAAAATTCTATGACTTGTGCAGAATGTATTCTAAACTTAGTCTGTGTCTCTCTCTGTGTTTGGCAAAGAAACAATGGAAGGAATGTGCTTAGAGCCATTGTGTTGCCGAGCTTGTACGTGTTTTTTCCTTAAAGAAGAAAGAACACAATAAAGGTTTCGCTGGAGGACAGAAGCATCAAAACCCTGAATAGAGCACCTAATATTATTAAGCTTGGACCACTCGCTGGGTTCAAACGCAGGGCATCTAGTGAGGCATAGTGGAAGCCTGATTGCTGAATGCATCATGCCTTATGTTTTATGTAGCGAGGCAGCTTCTGTTCCAATTTAACCAATAAGACTGTAACTCATCCTTTCCCAGCACCTCAAGACTTTGGATTTCCTTACCTCTCTCAGACTTCCCTTTCACCAATAAATCTACAGGCTTTTAAAACCTAAACTTGGCATCATTTCTCTTTGGCCTGTCTCAATTACTCTTGTTCTTTTCCACCTTGGTGATCAATTGTATTATGGTTTCTCTGTGAAGTAACTACAGACCTCTCTTCATAACCCCCCCCCCCCCCCCACCCCACCTCCCCGCTATGTAAAGCCTGTGAAAGAGAGAGTTTAGCATAGACCTATGCGACCTGTGTGTTAGACCCAGCACCAGGAGGGAAAGCATGGCTTGGCTCCTACGGCGACACAGGGGAAAGAGGTAGGGGAAATGGTTTTGGCAACTGTAGCTTCAGATTCCAGCTGAGCACATTCGGTACAGTCAGGTCTGGCTGTGTTTTGACATTCTAGTTCGAAACAATTCCCCCCAGAGAAAACTCTTTTGTGAGCCATACCGTGTGTTGGAGCGACGTGAGTTAGCTGAGTGGAGTTGTAACTCCTGACTCAGGATTGCTGTTGCTCTGGGTTGAGTGCTGCCTGAGGGGAACCCTGTTAAACCAAAGACCAAATGCCACACAGTTTCTAATGCTATTGAAGAGCTAGTAAACCTGCCAGCACTTCAGTAATGATCAAAACGTAAAAGGTTTTCAGACAAGGAGCAACTTAAGACATTCATTTTAAAACAATTTGCAGTTAGGGCAGTACAATCCAGAACTTTGCAGCCAGACCGTGACCTCCTCCACATCAGGCTCTGTGAGCAGATCACCTCACTCTCGCTTAGCTCCTTTGGCTCCCCCATTGCCTAGCAGATTAAGCTCAAGATCCTCATTCTCACATTTAAATCCCTCCATGATCTTGCCCCACCCTACCTCTGCAACCTCCTCAAACCCTATCGACTTGGCCGCACTTTCAAGGCACATCCCAAAACGTCCCTATTTGACGGCACGTTTGGTCCACTTCCCCTTCTCCACTCCCGTGATGCCCAACCCCAGCTCAGGTGCCCAGCCAGCAATGTGAATGTGCTTTGGGGCATCCTTCCATTGTGAAAGGCATTGTGTACATCAACCCTCAGGCCGTTGAAACTCTTGTTCATGCCTTCATCACCTCCAGGCTCGACTATGCAAACTCCCTGCTTGTCGGCCTTCCCAACTCCTCCCTCGACAGGCTGCAGATAATCCAGAACTCTGCAGCCTGTGTCCTCTCCCGCATCAAACTCTGCGACCCCATCTCCCCATTCTCGCCCGACTCCATTGGCTCCCTATCCTTCAGAGGATCCAGTTCAAGATCCTGGTCCTCACCTACAAGGCCCTCCATGGCCTTGCCCCACCCTACCTCTGTGACCTCCTAACCCCCAACCAACCCACCCTCTCCCTCTGCTCAGCCGGCTCTGCCCCCAATCTCTGGAATTCCATCCCCCAATAATTCCGCCTCACCCCCTTCTTAGCTTCCTTCAAGTCCCACCTCAAGACCCTCCTCTTCGACCATGCCATCGGCCACCCCCCTTCCCCTCCCTGCCCTTCTCCCCCGCTGACCCCTGCTCGGGTCTGAAATGCTGTACTCTGTCCAGCGCCTTGGGACGTCCTCCCGACGCGAAAGGTGCTATACAAATGTAATCTTGTTGTTGTAAATATAAAAACACAGAAGTCACCGGGCACACTCAGCAGGTCAGGCAGCATCTATGGAGAAAGGAGTCAACATTTCAGGTCCACGACGCTTTGTCAAAACAGACGAAGGGTCGTATAAATGTAAATTGTGTTGTAGTGCAGCGGGTTTCACATTGCTTCTCTCAATCTGGCGTGAAACTTGCAAATTAAATGAGAGTTTGCATTCGTTCTATGTGAAAATATTATTGAATGAGCCCAAACCGTGCAATATGCGTAACTGGCTTATTAGTCAAGAGCATGCTTTGAATCCACTCCGGTAAATATATTGGGATTAAAAAGCAAAGTGTGCTAACTACTGCCAGCAGAGCAAGGTGTTTGAGTGCTGTTTCACTGAGTAAACTGGTGATACTTATCACTTCACATACCGTGTTTCTTCACGCTATTGTTTTGTATGGAATTTCTCCTTCGAGTTTTATCCTTTTCTAGTTCTTCGTAAAATTTGCTTTCATTGCTTTTTTTCTCAGGTTGGTGAAAATCAATACGTGCTGGTTACAGAGGAATCATTTGACGGGAATTACTATGTTGCTCACAACAAATTCTACGAGCAGGTAAGTCCGGTCAGATTCTCCCTTTAGACCGTGTCCCATCATAGTCTAGTAGGTTAAAGCTATTTGATTGATGTTGAGGGAGCACATCTGTCACACCACAGGGTACTTCAGACTTCATGGATTATTGGCAGCACATCCAATAAAAATGATTGCAACCAAATAAAACAGTAAAAAGTGTGTCAGCGCCTTTCAGGAATAAAACCAGGCTGTAGTGTTTATAACTACTGCACTTCTGCTGTGTTATCTAACACTTTTTAGAAAAAAAATCTAAAATCTGAGGCCATTGTCTTAAAATTTGAGATTTTTTAAAAAAATTGTTAAACTGGAAACTGCCTTCTGCAGTTTTTGAATAGACCCAGCTTCCGAATAAAGGCTGAGTTTAAGAATTTGCTAAAATTATACATGATTTTAAATTTTAAGACAAGGGTCCTAAAGCTCAGACCATGTCAACTTTTAGGTCTCAATGTTCAAAGCATGCATTTCATGCATATTATGATGTATGAAATGTATGGAGTACAAATTTTATAATTTGGAAGTTATGGGAGTTTTTTACAGTAAAATACTTGCGACATTTACGCATTGGATTTAACAGTAAGTAAACTTACAGAGAGACAGAGCTGCTGAAAAAATATACCTCTGAGCATCAAAGTGCTTTGATTAATAACAGCAGGTTTGTAATTTTTGTGTTTCTCCATCCTATATTTCACTGAATATGGGTGGTGGTGTCCAAGCCCCATTTCTTCAAACTGTTCCTTTCTGCAATAAGTGCTTTTTGTTTCCATAACACTGCAGCTGCCTCTTAAAATAAGATGCCTGTCAATTCAAAGAATCATCAGTTGGATTCCAGACCCTCAGCGCCTCTGATCTGTCTGTATATCATAAAATAGAATCTAAAATCTTCATTAAAAAACTGTGGCTAAGAAGAGCACGGGCGTGTAGGAATCTTCACTTACTGCCACAGGCTTGTAAGACGTCTCAGCTGCCAAACCCCATAGGCTGCTGTGCAGAGGTGGCATGAGGATGGCTGCTGAAGCCTCAGTAATCACTCTAACTTGGAGTTTATTGTAATTTATAGTTCCCGTTAAGGACTAGGTCACATTAGTAAATGGCCTTACAATAGCAACTTGCATTTATATAGCACCTTTTACGTAGGGTAAGTGCTTTACTGGATGGTGCTGGACACTGAGTGGGGAGAGGTGTGGGGGGATGGAAATTGTGGGTACGGTTGAAGAGGTAAATAGGCAAACCATATTTCTCAGTGCCAGAAAAAGGGAAGTGAAATTCAGACTTATCTTAAAGCACTACTCTCAATTTATTTAATCATTCTTCCACGTGAATCAGCCGTGAGGATTTTCTTAATAAGATATAAATCTGAGCAACCGCTGTGATCTGCAGACAGTCCCTGAGGGTACTGGTTCTCAGAGCAGAGGTCAGAGTGCAAGTAACGATGAGCTTTAGTTGTTACTGTAGAGTGGTAAGTGGCAGTTTAAAGGGGTACTGTGCTCACACAAAGATGTTTGACAAATCTGTGCTTGGTGTGCTTTTGGAGAGACAATAGCTGTGTGTCATTTTGCAGTAGGGTTCACATGCTTGCATCACGATGATGCCTTTTGTTACGATTTACATAATTGAATCCGATTTACCGTCTTTGTGATTGCAAACACGAAAAGAATTTGCCAAGCAGTTTTCCATGAAGGCAGCGTGCCTTTAAAAAGTTAAAACTGAATACTCCTAGTTTGAGCCGCCTATGTCAGTTTCCTGTTTCGGTGGCAAGATGTGTAAATATTAATATATACACAAGCTGTGGCCGCTCCTATTTCCTCCTCCTCATTCCCCCTCTTTTGATGCCAGTGAATCACACCGAGACCTCATTCCATGGTCAGTGGGAGCACCTCCACTGGTTTTATTGACGTCGTACTCTGGACGGTGCTGTTTCTAATCAAATAATGGTCAAGAACCTTGTTAAAGGCCAGATGTCATCAGAATTGTTGGCTCCCGGAAAAAAAACATTTACAGGAAGAAGCTGGTTCCAATTATTCACAATTCCAAATAAATATAACTGGATTCAGGACAGGAGAGGGGTGCGTACAGAAGGGCGGGGTGAATGGTAGAGGTTATATATTAATATTTAAACATTGCTGTATTAAAATACGAAAGCTTAAGGTCACTAACTCTACATATGTACAATTGAAGATGTTTGGGGATGGGTAGTATAATTTGTTTTAAAAGTCTCTCCAAATCACATTAATCCAGACGAGCTTTCAGTGAGTTGCACATCAGTGTTGACTAGCAAATAGCTGTTAGGTGATTTAGAAATGGGGGCGGGGGGGGAATTGGCACAATATTACAGACCGTTGTCCAGCAAAAGGCCCTGAATAGCAATCAGCAGCTTGACTAGATAGCATATTTCACGTAGTACAGTGTTTTGAAGCGTTCACAGCGGCAGGATGCAAGCAAGGGAGAATGGGGAGGTGACTGTAGGCACTGTCGCTGAGATAGGTGGGCAAAGCTGTTTGATTTCATTCTCTCCCTTTGGAAATGAAATGAAGGGAATAATCCAGGATGAGGAGTCAGTTTGGTATATTAGCTGCCTCCCTGCTCTATTTGCATTGAAATACTATCGATTAGACGCTAAAACGTTCAGGTTTCCACAGTGATGATTTCACCACACAAGCCTAAATCCTGCTCACTGTATTTTCAGTAGAAACAGTGAGGAATGTGTTTTCTTCCACCCTTCAAGGTCCTGGTACCCAAGCAGCCGGAATTTCTGGGGAAAATGATAGAGGTGAATATTTATGAAGCAGGAAAACATTTCTTGAAGGGACAGCCAGCACAGAATTCGAAAGTCTACACCCCCTCGATTGCCAAGCCATTAGCAAAGGGAATAGTTTCGGGTATGTCAGAGGTAAGTGTGCCCAGCTTTCTTTACTCGATTTTTTTTACTCCGCTCTTTTATTTAAAGACCTTTCCGGGTTGCTCGTGAGATCAGACGAGTTGCGAGTGCAGAATTCATGCCTCTTTGCTGGCTGGCCTGAAAACTATTTTGAAAGCAAAAATTTAATGTCAAAAATACTTTAGCTGCAATGAATAATGACTGGTCCCTCACTAAATTGAAAAGTACAAATAGTGGCAACTCAATTCTAAAAGGACCTGGAGGGAGAACCCATTCTCCTGAAATCAGGAAATGTCCAGTCCTAACCTGTATTTAGAATGTATTGTATTTAGAAAGGAATGTATTTAGAAATCTGGTAATTTTTATACTAATACTTTCCTAGTTCCTTACAATATCCTCCATATCCATGCTGGATGAGTGTGGTTCTGGTCTCTCTGTTACACACACACACACACAAACACAGCTAAAGCCATAAAATTGCTGGAGTGTGAAATTAAAATACGTATCTGATTTCTGAGCATCATTTGATCTGATCTGCAGACACAAATGTTTCAAGTTGCTGCCCTGGAAAAACAATAGATTAAAAGAGGGGAAAGTGCCCCCTTTAATTGTTCATGTAATTCAGCCCAGGTAAATTATGCTATAAGGCATGCTTCTTTAATAAACTAAAGACTATTATTATATATTATTTTGTACAATAAAGTCTTAACTCACTGTGTTGGTTAATGTATATAAATGAAATCTGGAAACATCTGCTGGAAATCTGAAATAAAAATAGATAATTCTGGACCCAAAAAGTAAGGATTGATGGTGACACTGGAAATGTATCTGGTCCAGATCTTTCTGACTAAAAAGGGGTGGGTAGAGATCTGAAAAAGCTATGATATGGGCGTTCACCCAGAATACACACGGAACATTACAGTATATCCTGTGAAGTATACTTTTTATGATTTACAGTATATCCTATCACAGAACAGATCGATTTCAAGATCCTCTTATTCGTCTACAAGTCCTGGCACCTCCCTGCCTTTCTACCTGCTTTCTCCCAACTTCACTACCTCCGCTTGGCTGGCTCTGGCCTCCTGCTTGTCACTCATCCCCTGCGCTCCACCATTGGCGGTCGTGCTTTCAGCCACTACACCTTGAAGCTTTGGAACTCTCCCACAATAACTCCACCTTGCCCTCTCCTTCCCCTCTTTTCGATCACAACTGAAGGCTTTCCTCTTCGACTGTGCTTACGTCCTGTTACCTCCTTCAAGCTCGGTATCAGGCTCTACTACTATTAAACTCTCCGAGATGCTGCCCGCATGAAAGGGCGCCGTATAAATGCAAATGCAAGTTGTTAAAGTGCTTTAGGACATCCCGGAAAAGCGATCTGCCAATCGACTTAACAACCGGGTTTCCACTTACTGCTACGTAAACAGAGGCGTGTGGAGCAAGGAAACTTGCCCAACGATTCGTCCTGCCTGGAAATCAAACTCGGATCCTCTTGCTTGCGAGGCGAGTGTCCTAACCACTGAGCTACAGAGTTCTTTTGAAGGATCACCCTGAAGACGTTTCACTTTCAGAGGCTAATCGACCTGCTGTGGTTATCAAGAATTTTATCAAATTACCGATGAAAGGATTGTTATTTTCTGTTATGTCTTTTCAAGCTATGGTTCGGTGCATTTAAAACTCAGTAACGTTTAAAAGGTTTAGTTACATTTTCCAAAACTGAGGATGCTACTCTGTGTTTTCTCAGTGGTTATGTGAGATCTCCAGAGCTACACTGCAGTTGCACTGGGGACATCAATTCATTTATTATGTTTTAAAAATTAGAGTCGTAGGGGCTAAAACTGAATACTTTATTGAACCCAGTTGGAGGAAAGCCTGTAATTCATGCCTTCTAACAACAAATGAGGTACAAGCCAGTGAGTGGATTTCTGTGGTTTAAATATATAGGGATTATTGTCCTGAGATTCAATGCCGGCGAGATGCTCTATCAATCAATCAAACCCAGTGTGATTTAGAGACAATTTTTTTCATGAAAAGGAGTTTGGGAAATGGCTTCCGACTGTAGATATTTCCACTTTAAGTGGGGGGACCTGGGTTTGATTTCCGGACAGGACGAAATGTTAGGCAAGTTTCCTTACTTCATACGCCTCTGTTTACCTAGCAGTGAGCAGGAACCCGGTTGTGTGTTGATTGTCAGATCACTTTTCCAGGGGAAATAATCTCTTCATATAAAAATAATAATAGTAATTTGGTCACTCAATCCACAACTGTTTGTGGGACACTGCTGTGCGCAATCGCGTTTCGCCCACAAAATACACAGTCAGTTAATTTTGAAGTCCTGTAGTCCTGTAGCTCAGTGGAGTCCTGTACCTCAGTGGATAGAACACTCACTTTGCAAGTGAGAGACCTGAGTTCAATTCCAGGCAGGTCAGGGCGAAACCTTGGGCAAGTTTCCTTACTCCACACAGAGCCTAATAATAATCCCTCCAAAAACCAAAAACAATAATAAATTGGTCATTTTCAATCTACGACTGTTTGTGGGACATTGCTGTGCACAATTGGCTGCCGCGTTCGCCCACAAATATACAGTCAATTCACTTTACAGTGTATTCTGTGAGGCGCTTTGGGACGTCCTCCTGACGTGAAAAGCGCTATATCAAATTCAAGGATTATTATTATTATTTTACAGTATATTCTGTGAAGCTTTGAGATGTCTCGAAGATATGATAAAGCGCTATAGCAAATCCAAGGGTCATTATTATTACATGAATAAAGATGTTTCCTGTTGCACACAACAGCTATTAAATTCTAGTCTGCATTGGTATGTAAAGATGGCCAGTGTTCCAAATGAGGATTCAAAGCCAAGAATTGTTCATGGTGTGTGCCTTAACATATTAGTTTTGCAAGGAACTTTGGAAAATTCTTAAATTGATCTTAATTTGATTGGAAACTGTTTTGTCCAAGAAATCCTGTGTTCAAATTAATATTAAGTTTAACAATTTTCCCAAATTCTCAATCTTAAATTTTAAGATAATGGTCTTAATGTTTTTGGCAATGGGGTCTCAGAGGGAGGGACAGGAGAAACTGATGGAAAGAAACTCAGGGATGACTTCTCTGCAGATATACTTCCTTCTACTTTAACTGGAATTTGTAGGTAATTGGATTTACATCCATCATTCAAAGAAACCTCCATAGGAAGCAAAATCTAAACTGAGAGCTTCTCAATATTACAAGATGATGTTACACATTAAGCATGTGGACTTGGTTGCTTTGATCACAAATGAAAACACATTCAGTTTGACTTTAAGCTAGTTGATCCAATGATCCGACATAAGATTATTGCATTTTTTTTAAGTCGTCCAATACACGTTCTTCTTTTTATAATTTACTGCTATATGTTGCCTTGTGAGGAAATTAAACGAGCCCTTAATACTTACCTATGACGTGAAAAGAAAAAAATGGATGGATCAGGTTTTGCATTAAATGGCACCCTGATGTGTGTAACCTTTGAAGCCTTTAAATGTTAGGAGGCATTTATCCTGTTACCAGGAAACAAGTGGGTAGACCTCGTGCAATTGAACTGTGTGATGCTGTTGAGTCATTGACCTGTGGACTAGATGGAGTGATGGCTGTAATCACACCACTGTGAGGTTCTGGTGTTTGAATGGTGCTAGAAATGTAATCTACCCAAAGAGAGAGAGAGAGTTCAGAGAATGGTACAGATGATGTTCTTTTCTAATCCATGTTGTTGTTGTGTTTCATCTATTTGATGGTGTGGATCTGCTACTTGCAGTGTTTTTGTTGTGCAGCATCTCTTGAGTCAGTGGGGGTATCATGGTTGGCCTGTTCACATTAACAAAAATATTTGGATTTAAAAATAAGTTATCTGTGAAACAGAGTTAGGGGAGGGGCGACTCCTGTTAGCACATCCGATTAGATTGTCCTTGATGAACCTTCACTGAACCAAGAAATTACAACATTTCATGCATGAACATTGACTCTTGCCTATATGTCCAGTTGCACTTACTGTAACATGCAATCACCTCCCCCCCCCCACACACACACACACTCGCGCAAACACATATACACAAAATCACCACCTCATGAATGCACTGTGTTTGAGTACAACGTTCTGTAGAACAGGAAACTAGACAGGCTCACTATTCCAGGCTGACACAGCAGGCGTTTTAAATCTATTTCTTACCGAGTGTGATCCTATCAACATGACACGTTCATTGCCGAGATCTGTCTTGAGTACGGCATAGCATCCCAGATGTCATTAATAAGCAAGCATCTGTTTTCACTTGTGGCTCACCATAGTTGTATTGTTTTAACCTTAATCTCTTTTCATTGGAAAGAGACTTTGTTCTGCTTCGCTCTCTATATATGAATGCCCTACTAAGCAGGGTTTGACTTTTTTTTAAAAAGGTGAAGAGAGAGAAAATACTAAAACAAAATCTGGCTATATAAATGCCACAAATGTTAAGGTATGCTCCAGACTGGAACTCCAGTACATTGTTGGGTGGAGTCATCCTACAGATGAGACGTTAACCAAGGCCCTGCTTTTTCAAGTGGACGTTAAAGATCCCATGGCATTATTTAGGAACAGAAGGGAGTTTATCCCGGTGTCCTAGCCGTCAATCCTCCAAATAAAACTGGTTATTCAGTTCATGACTGTTTGTAGGAAATTGCTGTGTGCAATTGTCTGCTGCCTTCAACTACAAAAATACAGTCACTCACAGAAGCTTTTGCAAGCCTTTTGAGTTGTTCTTGCGTCTGTGAAATGTGTTTTTTTGTTCTGGTTCAGAAGAGAAATGGCTACCTCAAAATTAATGTAACAATAAGTTTTTTGAACCTCATCTAGCTTCAAAATAAAGACAAAAAAAGTGAGCAAGTGAGGGAGATTTTTTTTAGTAAAAATGTGGTGGGCATGTAGAATAATAATGTATTGCCTGAAATGGTGGTTGAAACAGATTCAATAACAACTTTCAAAAGGGACTTAGATAGGTACTTGAAAA